ATGCCCCAAAATTTATGAGTCCCCTTTAGCGTCAGTTACATGACGCGATCCTAGGGCGTCATCTTACTGACGCTTTACCTTTAACGTCAGTTAGATGACGCTATCTAATCCTAACCCTACCCCAGACCTAAAGGCCTGATGACACAGTGAGAATTTGTGTTGACCTAACTAAATTAAACAGTGTGGTTAGACGAGAGAAGTTTATTTTGCCCTCAGTGGACCACACATTAGGCCAGTTAGGGGGAGCAAAAATCTTCACCAAAATAGATGCCAATTCTGGATTTTGGCAGATCCGTTTGGCTGAAGAGTCTCAACAATTGACTACCTTCATTACGCCATTTGGGCGCTATTCTTTTAAGAGACTTCCATTTGGGATTTCCAGTGCTCCAGAGCTGTTTCAGATGAGAATGTGTCAGATTTTGGAGGGACTGGATGGAGTCACATGCCACATGGACGACATCCTCATATATGGAAGGTCTCCAGAGGAACATGACATCAGACTCGACGCAGCATTAAAGAGGGTGCAGAGAGCTGACGCTGAACGAAAAAAAGTGTGAATTTGCAAAAACTGAAGTCAAGTTCTAGGCCACAAGCTGTCCTCAGCTGGATTACAGGCCGACCCAGACAAACTGGCTGCGGTTCAAAATATGCGTGAGCCTAACAATGTGTCCGAGGTACGCAGCTTTCTTGGAATGATGAACCAATTGGGGAAGTTCATTCCAGACCTGGCTGAGAAAACAAAGCCCTTGCGAGACCTCCTCTCACAAAGAAGTCTGTGGTCCTGGGACGCACCACAGCAGGAGTCATTCAAATTGCTAAAAAAAGAGCTGATCACAATGCCAACTTTAGCACTCTTCGATCCAAGCAAGGAAACTAAAGTCGCAGCAGATGCATCGTCCTTTGGTCTGGGAGGAGTAATTTTTCAAAAGTCCAGTGATGCATGGAAACCCATTGCATACGCGTCTAGAGCATTAACTCCAACCGAGCAGAGATATGCTCAGATAGAGAAGGAAACTCTAGCTCTTGTTTGGGCATGCGAGCGTTTCAGCTGCTATCTCATTGGAAAGCATTTCTTTTTCGAGACAGACCATAAGCCACTTCTGAGCTTACTGAGCACAAAACATCTGGATGACTTACCACCAAGGCTGCAAAGGTTCAGAATGAGACTTACGAGATATTCCTATGAGATAAGCCTATGTTCCAGGGAAACAGTTCATAACTCCAGACACACTGTCAAGAATGCCCAGCATGAGCGATATAACGGGTGATGACGCAACTCTCATGGAAGACACAAATATTTACCTCGCCCAAATAGGGAGAAGCTTCCCTGCCTCAAAGAGCCGCCTAGACAACATTCGACAGGAGTTAAATAAAGACCCTGTTTGCAGCCAAGTAATGAGGTTCCATGAGCATGGATGGCCGAGAACTGTGCAGGCCAGTGACAAACTCAGACCTTACTGGCTGGAAAGAAACATGATTTCCATCCTAGACGGACTGCTTCTACATGGGACAAGGTTGATAATCCCTGCCTCACTCCAAAGTTCAGTTCTCCTCCACATTCATCAGGCACACCAAGGAATAGAAAAATGTCGCCAAAGGGCAAGACAGTCTGTGTGGTGGCCCGGTCTTAGTTCACAATTGGGAACTATGGTGCAACAATGTGATGAGTGTAGAAAGGCTTCCATGACAGTTGTAGAGCCACTACAACCTACAGACTTTCCACCATATCCATGGCAGAGAGCAGCTACAGACCTGTTCGAACTAAAGGGACAAAAGTACCTTTTAACTGTCGATGTTGTCAAATTGGCATCAACTTCTTCTGCAACCATAATAGAACATCTTAAAGCAGTGTTTGCACGAAATGGGGTGCCGGAGATTCTAATATCTGACAATGGGCCACAGTATAGCAGCGCTGACTTCCGGGAGTTTTCAAGGGAATATGACTTTAAGTACATAACAAGTAGCCCACGGTATCCGCAAGGGAATGGTGAAGCAGAACGAGCGGTGCAAACTGTCAAAAAACTCCTGGCGAAAACATCGGATCCGTTCAAAGCCTTGCTTGCATACCGCTCTACACCACTAGCAAACGGCTATAGTCCAGCGGAATTGTCAATGGGCAGAAGACTGAGAACAGGCTTACCAACTCTGCCGTCTCTCCTCACACCCAAACTCCCAGATGCAGACAAACTGAAACAGTTTGAATCCAACTTACGTGCTCGAACTAAAAATTCGTACAATAAGAGACATAGAGCAAGATCTTTGTCACCACTGAAGCCTGGACAGACTGTTTGGATTAAGGACCAAGCCATCACTGCGAAAGTGATCCGACAGCAGGCCCCAAGGTCGTTTGTTTTGAAAACCTCACATGGAAATATTCGACGCAACAGACGGGTGTTGGTGCGACTCCACCACCCTGGAAAAGAAAAAGAACAAACAGTTGATTTGCCAGACTTCTGTGAGGATGATCATGTACCTGACTGTCAAGCAGTAACAGTTCCCCAACCAGCTCCAAGTCCGCAGTCTGCCTTGCCTACCCGACAGGGAACGTACACAAGGTCGGGACGTTTGTCTGTTCCACCAAGACGAATGAACCTTTAATTTATGGCCGGTGACTATAGAGGCAGAATAATCCTCTCACTGTGCCAGGAGTGCTCAGGTAGTCCACCCTGACCTCCTTAAAAAAAAAAAAAAAGAAAAAAAAAAAAAAGAAGAAGAAGAACATATATTGTAAGACAATTGAGTAACAGTATTGTAAAGGGAAAGAAAGCAAGGCAAAATGTTATGCTAAAGGATGTTTATTAAAGCAATAATTTTATTTTATGTTATAGAAGTATGGCATAGTATTTGTTAAAATGGTTATGTTTACTATGCCAGAACAGTAACATTCTTGGATTTACTAAGTTCATTGTTTGGGGAAAGGAGAGATGTAGTGATATGTGATGGGTGGGATCGCTACTGAGTGAGCCACGCCCCAAGCGGGGTTTTTGTACTCTGTGAGTGAGCAATAAAGTTAGTTATGTACCTGCTAGGCTGTGTGATCACTGTCTCGGCTCATTCACGAACACAACAAATACAACACATTAACGCTGTCATATAGAGAACACATATCAAACACTGTTCATATTCTTTCAGTTTTCCAAATTATGAACTAACCAAACCGTCAAACACCGGCTCTCTGTGTGAACACATGCAAGTGACTAACAAAAGCATTTTTAAGCTAACTTGCAATTGGTATTTTTGTGCCACTTATGCACATGACTGACAACAGCATACTGCATGTGCCCTGCAAATGGGCGCTCTGCATTTGAAACAGACAGTGCTTGTTTTCACATCTTTTGGGGCACACAAAGTGCATCTCTTCCTTTTCTCTCCTCTGCCTATGACAGCTGAAGGACCTGGTTCTGCTGTTGGTTCTGGTGTTTGTATGTCTCTCACCAATGTAGCAGAGGGCAGTGACATAAAAAAGAATATGTCTTCAAGCACACATGTACATATGTGAACATAAACATGAACATGCTCCTGACAACTAAATTTTTCTCAAATTTTTAGTCTCCCCCATTCACTTTCAATGACCGGGAACACCACAAGTGTGACTCTGTGTCATTTTGTGCAAAAAAACCCACACATTTCAAAACAAACGGTGTCATTAAATATTAAAGTAGACAAGTGTGATCAACAGTGCAATTTTTTTTTCATATTTTACTTAATATTGCCAAAATTATTAACAAATAATGCTTTTTTCACTCAAAAACTGAAGTGCATAAGCTCGGATAAATGACTCCTACAATTAAACCGTTTGAAAATTAAATACAAAACCAGTCCTAATTGAAAGAGAACAAGTTGACAAAAAGATTGAATCCAAGATTGGGTGAAAATATGGTATAATGAGTGATTTATAAGCTATTTTTTATAGGCCGGTCATTTTGACCCGGGAAGACCACAGGTGTTATAGGGTTTTGAACACCACATGAGGGTTAATTGCGTTAAATATTTACCACTGAGTCTAGGCCGCGGTTCCTGCGCAGACGTCACGTCACGAGTAGGATGGGTTTCATACAAGATCTGGCAACTGGACAACCTTGGAATAATATATTGATTATTATTCATATAACGACGTTTAGGCCATACAAATTACGGGAGTTTCACGGGAAAATAACAAGGGGGGCGGGAGATGTGTGTGAAATACTGGAGACTCCCGTGGAAACCGGGAGTGTTGACAGTATGTGTTTCTGATGTGCGCTCGGTGCGAAGCTGCTGCTGCCTGTTTCACGATTTAAAACAGACTGAAGGTTAATCACAATTTCTTTTGAATTTTTTTTTTCTTTTTCTAAAAAGGGCCAATAGTGACGCCCATGACTGGCACTGTCAATGTAAAAATCTCGTCTTTGCAAGAGTAATTGGTTCGTTGTATTAATATTAAAATTAAATCAGGCATTAGAAATATAACATGCAAAAATAACATAACATTTTGAATTAGACTTTATTTTGATGAATTTATGCTTATGCTGCATATACCACCACATAGCACTCCACGCCTACCACAGTTTTAGTGCATCCACAGTTATTATCAACTATGTAAATCTACTGTACCTGTTCAGACTAATGACTTGGGAGATGGTTTTATTCAAAGCAAATTACAAATGAGGAACATCGCAAGAGCCAACAGTATCGCAGCACCACAAATTTTCCTAGTAAGCTAGAGCAGAAGTAGAAGAAGCAGAAGAGTTTTTTTTTTTTTTTTTAGGCCTAAGGCCTATTTCTAAAAGGCACAACAGCAAGTGTAAAGAGAAGGTGTAAAATGGATACGAGAAAGTAAATTATGGCAGTTTCTTGCATCAAAAATGGTAATGCGCTCAGTAACATTCCTATTGTAAAACTTTTATTTTGAATTACTTCCAACTCTTTTTGAACTTGTGGTTTTGATTTGCATAGGCCATCTCATCTCCCCATTGCCCCACCGCCCATTATTTCTCACAGACTTACATCACTGTACTTCCTCTCTGCTTTCCTGTCACGTGAGCAGACGTTTGCTAACTTTCTTTTCATTTTAAGGCAAGGTTTGAGGAAACCAAAAACATCCCATAGCCACTTAACGGTTGTATCTCTCTAGGGCGTTGCATTTCGACCAAAGTAAGTAAGGCTTGTTAAATACTTTACTTTTTACTTGTTTTAACAAAGAATGTGCATGACTATAATTTTTATTAGAATTCTTATTCGTATCAGTTTTTTTGGACAACAGTAGTTGTAGCTTTAAGGAACAGCTATAGTTTTGATCTGATTAACCGTTAGTTCACTAATCCACTCAAACTATATGTTCTTGTTGATGATTTACAACATTTTAAATGAAAAGTGTTTTATTTGGGTTCATAGAGATCTCAGACATTCACACTCTAATTCAAATGCATATTTGGAATCAGTAAACACTGAGATTGTACTACATTTGATCACTTTATACAGTAAGGAGAATTTCCCTAAATAACTAGGCTAATGGCTATATCAACTGCATTTGCTAAATTCGTGGAGGACACATGTTGAAAGGAATAGGAATATAGTGACACTATACACTATAAAGACTCTATATATAGACACTATATTAGGAATAGGTAACAAAAAAAAAAAAAGAATATTCTGTCATTATGTTGTTCAACAGAGTATTATTTTCTTTCTTCTGGGAAACACAAAATAAGATGCTTGGTAAAATCACCATGCTGCTTTTTACCATAAAACAAAATGAATGGTTATTTACACTGTCAAGCTCAAAAAATGGACAAAAAACATCATAAAAGTAGGCTATCATAAAGTTGTAGGCAGTACGCATTATATGATTTGAGCTCGACAGTATACAGTAAATACATATCCAAACTTACATTGTATGGTAATCAGAACAACTTCTCTTTTGTTTTTCACAGAAGAAACAAAGTCAAGCAGGAAAATTTTAATTTTCAAACAAGCTATCCATTTAAGCATTCACAACACGGAAAGTGGCGTAAACTTCTCACTTTGGAATCTAAATATAGCTCTCTGTGTGAGAAACTAAGCATGTTTCATTGGGTGATGCGATAAAACCATGATGAACCAATAAATGGCAGGCACACAGATCCCTTAACCGTCTATGGCAGTCTATGAGTCTTTAGACTGTCAAAGTCATCCCCTTCTGAGATGTGTCACCCACACATCATATTGACAACTAAAAAACATTTTTCAAGTTCACACTTTCTGTGCGGCACCTTGCACAGCTGCTGCAAAACTGCACAGGCATAGAAAAGTTTTCATTGCATTATTTAACATGTGAACCTGGACCACAAAACCAGTCAATTTTGGGTCAATTTTTTGAAAATGATATTTATACATCTTCTGATAGCTGAAGTAATAAATAATAAATAAGCTTTTCATTGAACTATTTGGAAATCTGGAATCTGAGGGTGCAAAAAAAATCTAAACATTGAGAAAATCGCCTTTAAAGTTGTCCATTTATGTTTGCGATTGTGCTGCATTCACTCACAAAAATAAATGTTTTATTTATTTATGGTGAAACATGATCTTTACTTAATAGCCTAATGACTTTTGGCATACAGGAAAAAATAGATAATTTTGACCCATACAATGTTTTGCTGGCTATTGCCTCAAATACCTGTGCTACTTGTGAATGGTTTTGTAATCCAGGGTCAAATATGGCAACTGAAATCTCATTTCTCGTCTCATTTTCAATAGTTGTTTGGGATGCTGATAATAATAAAGAATGCTGTTTTAAATTAGAAAATGCTTCAGTCGGTGTGTCTGAGGGGACTTCTCCTGCTGTTGGTGGGAAGACAGGGTAGGTACATGAAATACACCTAGTGCAAATGTCCTTAAACTGGGTTCACGGCTGTGTTTGAAACCTGAACAATACAGGTAGCATAAGGAGGTGGGAAGGCATTATGCCAATGTTTGCAAAGCCTCATTTCCTGCCTATAATATCCCATGATCCTGTGCCTGCAGTTCATACATAAACAAAAATGGTGTCTGATGTTATGGTGCATTGGAAGCCAGTCTAAAAACTGTTTCAGGAGAATACAGGGCAGCTTGGAACAAAGCCTGTGTCTCACAAATAAACGGAATTTGTATTTGTGTCTGTTAAAGGGATAGTTCACCCAAAAATGAAAACTCTGTCATTAATTACTCACCCTGATGTCGTTTCAAACCTGTAAAACTTTCGTTCATCTTCGGAATACAAATAAAGATCTTTTTGATGAAATCTGAGAGCTTTCTGTCTCTCCATTGCTAACACTTTGACGCCTCAAAAAGTTCATAAAGAGATCGTAAAACTAATCCATATGAATAGAGCGGTTTAGTCCAAATTTTCTGAAGAGACTTGATCGCTTTATATGATGAACAGATTGAATTTAGGCTTTTTTCACATATAAACATTCATCAACTCACACTTCAGTTTGGTCAACTTTACGTGAAGAGAACCTCGTGTTTCACAGCACGTTTGAGCTTCTGTAAGAACCAATGAGGTTCATTCTCGTGTTACATCGCATGTTTGAGCTTCTGTAAGAACCAATGAGGTTCATTCTCGCGTTACGCAGCACGTTTGAGCTTCTGTAAGAACCAATGAGTTTCATTCTCGCGTTACACAGCACGTTTGAGCTTCTGTAAGAACCAATGAGGTTCATTCTCGTGTTACACAGCACGTTTGAGCTTCTGTAAGAACCAATGAGGTTCATTCTCGTGTTACATCGCATGTTTGAGCTTCTGTAAGAACCAATGAGGTTCATACTCGTGTTACACAGCACGTTTGAGCTTCTGTAAGAACCAATGAGGTTCATTCTCGTGTTACACAGCACGTTTGAGCTTCTGTAAGAACCAATGAGGTTCATTCTCGTGTTACATCGCATGTTTGAGCTTCTGTAAGAACCAATGAGGTTCATTCTCGTGTTACGCAGCACGTTTGAGCTTCTGTAAGAACCAATGAGGTTCATTCTCGTGTTACATCGCATGTTTGAGCTTCTGTAAGAACCAATGAGGTTAATTCTCGCGTTACGCAGCACGTTTGAGCTTCTGTAAGAACCAATGAGGTTCATTCTCGTGTTACGCAGCACGTTTGAGCTTCTGTAAGAACCAATGAGGTTCATTCTCGCGTTACACCAACACAGTCTCATCCCAAGGCGTCATCTAACTGACGCTTCTGACCATGCGTCAACATGCCGACGCACACACCACCCCCCAAACGTCAACATGAGACGCTCATCCTCGGGCGTCATCAAATGCCGCGCACCCTTTAGCGTCAGTTAGATGACGCTTCCGTTATGGGTAGGTTTAGGTCTGGGGTAGGGTTAGGATTAGACCACTAGGAGGCGCGTCTCATATTGACGCTCAAGGGGTACCCTGTGCGTCGGCATATTGACGCATGGCCAAACATGGTCTAAAGGGTCAGTTAGTTGACGCCTTGGGTGTGAGACTGGGCTGGTTACACAGCACGTTTGAGCTTCTGTAAGAACCAATGAGGTTCATTCTCGCGTTACACAGCACGTTTGAGCTTCTGTAAGAACCAATGAGGTTCATTCTCGAGTTACGCAGCATGTTTGAGCTTCTGTAAGAGCCAATGAGGTTCATTCTCGCGTTACACAGCACGTTTGAGCTTCTGTAAGAACCAATGAGGTTCATTCTCGCGTTACACAGCACGTTTGAGCTTCTGTAAGAACCAATGAGGTTCATTCTTGTGTTACACAGCACGTTTGAGCTTCTGTAAGAACCAATGAGGTTCATTCTCGTGTTACATCGCATGTTTGAGCTTCTGTAAGAACCAATGAGGTTCATACTCGTGTTACACAGCACGTTTGAGCTTCTGTAAGAACCAATGAGGTTCATTCTCGTGTTACACAGCACGTTTGAGCTTCTGTAAGAACCAATGAGGTTCATTCTCGTGTTACATCGCATGTTTGAGCTTCTGTAAGAACCAATGAGGTTCATTCTCGTGTTACGCAGCACGTTTGAGCTTCTGTAAGAACCAATGAGGTTCATTCTCGTGTTACATCGCATGTTTGAGCTTCTGTAAGAACCAATGAGGTTAATTCTCGCGTTACGCAGCACGTTTGAGCTTCTGTAAGAACCAATGAGGTTCATTCTCGTGTTACGCAGCACGTTTGAGCTTCTGTAAGAACCAATGAGGTTCATTCTCGCGTTACACCAACACAGTCTCATCCCAAGGCGTCATCTAACTGACGCTTCTGACCATGCGTCAACATGCCGACGCACACACCACCCCCCAAACGTCAACATGAGACGCTCATCCTCGGGCGTCATCAAATGCCGCGCACCCTTTAGCGTCAGTTAGATGACGCTTCCGTTATGGGTAGGTTTAGGTCTGGGGTAGGGTTAGGATTAGACCACTAGGAGGCGCGTCTCATATTGACGCTCAAGGGGTGCCCTGTGCGTCGGCATATTGACGCATGGCCAAACATGGTCTAAAGCGTCAGTTAGTTGACGCCTTGGGTGTGAGACTGGGCTGGTTACACAGCACGTTTGAGCTTCTGTAAGAACCAATGAGATTCATTCTCGCGTTACACAGCACGTTTGAGCTTCTGTAAGAACCAATGAGATTCATTCTCGAGTTACGCAGCATGTTTGAGCTTCTGTAAGAGCCAATGAGGTTCATTCTCGCGTTACACAGCACGTTTGAGCTTCTGTAAGAACCAATGAGGTTCATTCTCGCGTTACACAGAACCAATGAGGTTCATTCTCGCGTTACACAGCACGTTTGAGCTTCTGTAAGAACCAATGAGGTTCATTCTCGAGTTACGCAGCATGTTTGAGCTTCTGTAAGAGCCAATGAGGTTCATTCTCGCGTTACACAGCACGTTTGAGCTTCTGTAAGAACCAATGAGGTTCATTCTCGCGTTACACAGCACGTTTGAGCTTCTGTAAGAACCAATGAGGTTCATTCTCGCGTTACACAGCACGTTTGAGCTTCTGTAAGAACCAATGAGGTTCATTCTCGCGTTACACAGCACGTTTGAGCTTCTGTAAGAACCAATGAGGTTCATTCTCGCGTTACACAGCACGTTTGAGCTTCTGTAAGAACCAATGAGGTTCATTCTCGAGTTACGCAGCATGTTTGAGCTTCTGTAAGAGCCAATGAGGTTCATTCTCGCGTTACACAGCACGTTTGAGCTTCTGTAAGAACCAATGAGGTTCATTCTCGCGTTACACAGCACGTTTGAGCTTCCGTAAGAACAAATGAGGTTCATTCTCGCGTTACGCAGCACATTTGAGCTTCTGTAAGAACCAATGAGGTTCATTCTCGTGTTACGCAGCACGTTTGAGCTTCTGTAAGAACAAATGAGGTTCATTCTCGCGTTACGCAGCACATTTGAGCTTCTGTAAGAACCAATGAGGTTCATTCTCGTGTTACGCAGCACGCTTGAGCTTCTGTAAGAACCAATGAGGTTCATTCTTGTGTTACACAGCACGTTTGAGCTTCTGTAAGAACCAATGAGGTTCATTCTCGTGTTACGCAGCACGTTTGAGCTTCTGTAAGAACCAATGAGGTTCATTCTTGTGTTACACAGCACGTTTGAGCTTCTGTAAGAACCAATGAGGTTCATTCTCGCGTTACGCAGCACGTTTGAGCTTCTGCAAGAACCAATGAGGTTCATTCTCGTGTTACGCAGCACTTTTGAGCTTCTGTAAGAGCCAATGAGGTTCATTCTCGTGTTACGCAGCACTTTTGAGCTTCTGTAAGAACCAATGAGGTTCATTCTTGCGTTACACAGCACATTTGAGCTTCTGTAAGAACCAATGAGGTTCATTCTCGTGTTACGCACCACATTTGAGCTTCTGTAAGAACCAATGAGGTTTGTTCTCACACGTCAAGCAGGTTCGGTTGAGCTTTTATTGTTCGCTGATCAATGTTTATATGTGAATAAAAGCCTAAATTCAATCAGTTCATCATATAAAGCGATCGTGTCTCTTCAGAAAATTTGGACTAAACTGCTTAATAAATATGGATTCGTTTTACGATCTCTTTATAAACTTTTTGAAGTTGCGCAGCTGTCAATAGAGGGACAGAAAGCTCTCAGATTTAATCAAAAAGATCTTCATTTGTGTTCAGAAAATGAACGAAAGTCTTAAGGGTTTGGAACGACATGAGTGTTAGTAAGTAATGACAGAATTTTTATTTTCATTTTTGGTTGAACTAACCTTTTAACTACATCTATCATAAGAGACAAATATCCAGGATGCTGAATCATGCAAACAAAACAGACTGTTTAAAGACATAACTGAAGTTAAATCTGTTTGTTGCAGTCTACACTCAGGAGCAATGCTTAAAAGCTTCAGTAAACACATGTGGAGACTGTATCAAGTCCGGGCCCGGCTGTGCCTGGTGTAAAGACTTGGTAAGCCCTGCTTAATGGTTCAATTTAATTACCCTTCAGAAAATAACTGACTGTCTGAACTCACTCTAAATGTATTAACACTACTCATGCTAATATAACGTAATTTAAAGTAGTTTCAACAATTTCAATCCCTAGTCTCTCTCACAAAGCCATAATTTGACTTGCGGTATAAAGTTTGTTCCAGTTTATTCTGACCAAGAATCATGTATTTAGATGATATGTAAAAGTGGCCAGTTTTTACATCCTGTTTAGGTGCACGTTAATCAGAAGAAGAAAAAAACACACCAATTGATTAGCATAGAAAATACTTTCAAAATATACCACAGCAGTTTGAAAGTAACAAGTGATGATAATTTCACAGATAAAAGCAAAGTTCTGCTCATGAATTTCTTGCTTGCAACTAAGTGCCTCAAACAGAACTCCATCGATCAATACTTCATCACAAGCACTCATAATATCAACCCAATACCTTTTAAAATCAATTATATTTATTGATAAAAAGTCAAACTCTCAAAGTTTCATTGGAAACAGGAAATTTCATAAGTGCCTTCAACTTTTGTGTGCAATATGTCTCAGATGGTCAACTATTTGATCTCCAACATTAGTAATGCAATGTTGGTCTGTCTAAATCTAATTCTCAACAGCTTTTTCGATTCAAAATATATTGAATTCCACATTGCATCTTCTTAAAATCCTCCTGTTTGTCTTATTCAAACAACAGAATTTCACCAAGACTGGGGAGCAGGAAGCAGCACGTTGTGACACAAAAGCCTTGCTTATAGATAGAGGATGTCCACCCAATAGCATAATAAATCCTTTAAACATTTGGAAGCCTGTTTTAAACAAGTCCCTGGCTGCTGGTCCAAATCCAGTGCAAATCCAACCACAACAAATTGAACTAGATCTTAGACCAGGTATGTTATATACTTTCTATATACCGTACTACTGTATATACTGTATATAACTACTGCATTGACCAAAACAATGACTTTTTTAATGTAAGTTTGAGACTGACTTTCAAAGAATAGAGATGACTAATTGTGTTGTTTTCTCAGGGTTGCCCCACACTTTTCAACTAAAATTCAAAAGGGCAGAAGGCTATCCTGTAGATCTTTACTACCTAATGGATCTCTCCTACTCTATGAAAGATGATTTGGCGAATGTGAAAAATCTGGGAAATAATTTACTTCAAGAGCTCAATAAAATTACGGGCAATGCCAGAATAGGTAAGCATGTATATCTCAATCAGAGTTGAATTGTTATGGCAATGGCTTCATTAACCAACTTTCCTGATGCAGGATTCGGTTCGTTTGTCGACAAAACCGTTCTTCCATACACCGACACCAATGAAGCGAAGCTCAAACAGCCATGCCCGACTAAAGATGAACCATGCCAGCCAGCATTTGGCTTTCAGCATGTGCTTTCACTGACAAAAGAAGGGGAAACGTTTAAAAAGATGGTAGACAAGCAAGATATATCTGGAAACCTGGACCCTCCAGAGGGAAGCCTGGATGCCATCATGCAAGCCGCGGTCTGCGTGGTGAGACTTAAAACGTTTCACACCACATAAGCATGCATAAGTGGCAGAAATATATTTTGGCAGCCATTTTAACAGATTGCATCATCCACGCTGTGGGCAAAAGAATGGGAAGTATATGTCATGCTGTGAGAAACAAGCTTGAAAACTTACAGTACATGAAACCTGTAGAGAATTTCTTTGTGCGTGATTCATGCATGACGTTCTATATCATGTTAGTAAATAAAGTAGGCCTAAATGTGTTACCTGTGCACAGAATGAGATTGGTTGGGGAAACAGCACTCGGCTGCTGGTGCTGGCTACTGATGACGGCTTCCACATGGCAGGGGATGGAAAACTCGCAGCCATTCTGGAACCAAACAAAGAAACCTGTCAGCTGGTCGGAAACAAGTACAGCATGAGCAACATCTGGGTATGATTTAATACTTCTGAAGAACTTTAAATCTGAAAAACATGTGAACTACACCAGAAAGTTCCAAGGCAGGGTTATAATCTAAAATTAAAACAAATTTTAAAAATAATTTAATAATTTTAAATAAAATCAACATTAACTGAAATATACAGTATATAGACATAAAAAAACCTAACAAAAATGACAACAAAAATGTATATCAATGATACTAAAATAACAAGGCAAGTTTAAATGTAAATGTTGTACATTTGGATAGACACTAATAAATTATGTATATACTAGACAATCAATCTTTGAATTCCACTAATTCAGTATCTAAATACCTCCCCGAATCTGTAAACGTGTGCATCTCCACATATGTAAAAAGGTACGTATGTTTTAGATGCTACAGTATCACCTTGATATATGTGAAAATATAACAACTATATGATCTATGTTTTCAGGACTACCCATCTGTAGGACAGATAGCTCGCAAGCTGGAGGAGCAAAACATACAACCAATTTTTGCTGTCACTAAAAAAATGGAAACTGTGTACACAGTAAGTAAAACATGCTTATATCTAAAATGAGAAAATATATGTTCTGGGGGTAAAAGGATATAATAAGTTATCAAAAGTGTAAACAAGTGACTCAGCGGCACTTGCAGCGTTGATTATTGGCAGATTGGGAGTGTCTGAGAGTGATCATTTTTGTACGTTTGGGGAATAAATTATAACACCTTCTCCTTTTACTTTGTGTCATTTACACACGATCCACATTAATATTCCTAGCCTAGTAGAAGTAGTAGAAGTACAATGGTGTACCTGACCACAGTTGTATGTTCTTTAATAGGAGCTGAGCAAACTGATCCCTAAATCTGCAGTAGGAGTGCTTTCTGACGACTCCAGCAACGTTGTCAATCTAATTGTGGATGCATACAATGTGAGTCCATTTCCAATTTATACAATCCTTGTCTTTTTAAAGGCTAAATAAATAAATAAAACATTACAATGAGAGCGCTTTTCTATGTTTAACACCCTTATCAATGTCCTATGGGGTTTGAACAGAACTTAACCTCTGAAGTGATCATGGCTCATGATGCCCTCCCAAACTCCGTATCTGTGAAATACACATCAAACTGTCCAGGTGGAGGAAACCCCAGTGACAGGGGGAAGTGTGATAATGTGAACATTGGACAGGAAGTGAGTACGATTAGACACCAGCACACACAACCTAAAGGTAGACAGATCATTAATGCTCGTGCAGATGCAAATCCATTCAGCAGATTTAGCAAATGCAATAATTCAACAATGTACACTTTTTAAATGACTTTACTCTTACTTTAATCCTTTTAGGTGACTTTTTATGTGACAGTAACAGCAGAAAGATGCATGCCGGGCAGTCAGAGCTTCTTTATTGGGCCATTAGGATTTAATGAAAAAGCGAAAGTGACCGTTCAGACTCGATGCGAATGTGACTGTGATGATGAGAATAAAAATCATATTCACTGTGGGAATAACGGTAAAATTGTCTGTGGCAGCTGCAGGTAACAGAACAGTATCATTTACTCCAAATGTGTCCTTTTTCATCACTTTTTACTGATATTAAACTCCAAAGGCCCTGGCTGAATATTACAACAACATGTCTGGGTCATATATCTATAAAAAATAAGTAACTAAAAATAAGAATTTATCCAATTAGTCTTAAAGGTGAATCTCATTAGATTCTCATTGCAAAGTACTGTAGCAATAATAATACAGCAAAAATAAAGATAGCAAAACAAATTACAATTAAGTAATATTTATTTATGCTTTATTTATATTACAAAAACATTCTAATGGTCCCAACAAAGACTTTAGTAATGTTTTTCTTAGAGCATATTATTACAATTTAAAATAGCTGTTTTCTATTTGATTACATTTTAAACTATAATTTATTCCTGTGATGCAAAGCTAAATTTTCAGCATCATTACTTCAGCGTCACATGAACCTCCAGAAATCATTCTACGCTTGTGTGCGTGCGTGCATGTGTGTGCAAAGATATAGATGCATACATTGACATCCAAATAACCTTTTTGCAGCACACACAACCTGACTGTAGTGACAGACATTCTATTACATATGACTAACACAAGCTAAAGCAACCTCCCCATGTCCTCAGGTGTAATACTGGTTTCTTAGGACAGCGCTGTGAGTGCACACTAGGAAAAAAGGACGAGGCTTCACTGAAAGCACAGTGCCGGAAAGACAACGGCACGGAATGCGAAGGCAAAGGAGATTGTGTTTGTGGACGGTGTCAGTGCCATATCACAGAGGCCGGTGGCAATTTCTATGGCGAACACTGTGAATGTGACGATGAGCACTGTGAAAAATTTAACAATACACTGTGTGCAGGTGATTAGTGTGGAGAGGCTCATATTTAAGTGCTTAACAGTTTATTTTATATATTATGTATATTTTTATAATTTTTTAATCATTTAGATGTTTTTACTTTTTACAGGTCATGGCAAGTGCAAATGTGGTAAATGTGAGTGTGAACAAGGCTACGAGGGAACAGCGTGTCACTGTGCAAAATCCGACGAGGCTTGCAAGAGGGACGGGAATGTTTGTTTTAACCGTGGTAAATGTGTATGTAACCAGTGTGAATGTGAGAGAGGATACAAGGGGCCCTACTGCGAAACGTGTTCTGCTTGTCAACGTCCGTGTCAACAGTCAGGGTAAGAAAACTTGTGTGACCTTGACCTTTACAAAGCCACCCTATAAATACAAATGATTACTTGAAACACACGTTCTTACTTAATTTTACAACCCCAACTGGGATTACTAAAACTACTAATTTAGTTAATCAGTTAATATGGACGATTTATTTAAATTATCCATTTCACGTATTCTCAGTTATATAAATAATGGTATTTTCTAGTTTTCTTATTTGTATTTAATACAAATGTATTTGTTATTTATTGTAATATATACATATTATATTAATTCTGTATATAAAATTTGATGTTTAATATTTTTATATGTATTTCAAAATTATTAAAGTATTCCTGACCTATTGCAGGAGTTGTGTTGAATGTTTGGCCTTTGGGACCGGTCCGTTTGAAAAGAACTGCTCTTTGGCCTGTGGCCATCTGAAGTCTGTGACGGTTGAAAAATTACTCAAGAGCGACTGTCGAGTCAAAGATCACATGGGCTGCTGGATGTCATTCACAATGAAAGAACAGCTTGGATTTGACAAGTATGATATGAATGTCCTCATAGACAGAGGTATAGTCCCGGACACCATTCCTGAAGTATTGAAACATGTACTAGTTAATTCGGGTTCTTTCATTATTGACCCTCATGTTATTTCAAACCCTGTAGATCTGTGTGTGTGTGTGTGTGTGCGTGTGTGCGTGTGTGTGTGTGTGTGTGTGAAGCATTTCTGAAGAATCTTTATATTCTTAAAGGGATAGTTCACTTTGAAATTAATTTTTGGTATGTTTTAGCTTACCTCAAGGGCATCCAAAATTTAGGTGTCTTTGTTTCCGCAGTAGTTTCAATTTTGATATTTTTAGGTCAAACCGTTCTTGTCTGTCAGTGATATAATGCAGGTCTATGGTCACCACCTCAAAGAGCATGCACAGAGAAGTCCAAATTAAACATGATTTAATGACTCGTAAATGTAAGTACACATTGATGGCCTAAGACTCGAAACGAGCGGTTTGTGTGAGAAAACGAACAGTATTTATATCGTTTTTACCTCTTGTAAACACAGCCACGTCCAAGTGATCTGAGGGCGCGGGCACGTCGGTCTGCGCAAGCCCCGGAAAGCACCGGAAGTGATCTCTCGCGCGTGTACGTCACTCATTGTTTAGACAGAGATTTAAGAAGTGTTACCTTTCACTGTGAAGATCTAAACATATTAAGATATACAGGAAATCGCAATGGAAGACGATTTCGATATATCAACAGACAACATGGAATTTTTTTCACAACCGTATTTATTTACTTCCGGTGCTTTCCGGCGCTTGCGCAGACCGAAGCGCCCGCGCCCTCAGATCACTTGGATGTGGCTGTGTTTACAAGAGGTAAAAACGCAATAAATACTGTTTGTTTTCTCACACAAACCGCTCGTTTCGTGTCTTAGGCCATCAATGTGTACTTACATTTACGAGTCATTAAATCATGTTTAATTTGGACTTCTCTGTGCATGCTCTTTGAGGTGGTGACCATAGACCTGCATTATATCACTGACAGACAAGAACGGTTTGACCTAAAAATATCAAAATTGAAACTACTGCGGAAACAAAGACACCTACATTTTGGATGCCCTTGAGGTAAGCTAAAACATACCAAAAATTAATTTCAAAGTGAACTATCCCTTTAATATTCTTTTTTTTTACAACAATAGTTTATAATGGAAAAAAGTAAAAGCTGTAAAAGTAGTCATATGGACTTTTTATAATGCTTTTTGTCCTTTTTGGAGCATAAGTAAATCAGTAGCTCGCAACAATAGGAGGGTGTGTAAATGTCAGATTTTATTTTATATTTGGACAAATATTCCATTTTAAACAAATATCACGTTTGAAACTACAAAAAGAAAAGCGTTCTACCTTTATGTTTCTTGCGTTAGAATGTCCTGAGGGGCCGAACATAGGAGCCATCGTAGGAGGATCTCTGGCAGGTGTGGCGTTGATTGGTCTCCTAATCCTCCTCATCATCAAGGCAGTTCTGTATGCAAGTGACCTTAGAGAATGGAGGAGATTTGAAAAAGACAGAAAACATGAAAAAATATCTGTAAGTTCGTTTTCTTTATACATAAAACCCCTACCCTTCATATTCAGCCAAACTGCCAAAAGTTGTTCTTTATTCACACTTGACTTTTTTAATTAAGCAGATTGTTTCCCTCTCCTCCCACAGGGTGCCAACCCATTATTCCAGAATGCTACGACCACTGTTCAAAACCCAACGTTTTCCGGAGATTCTTAGAAACTTGTTGGAGCTGACACACATGATGTAGAGAGTGGATGTGTATTAATTAATCTATAGGTCTGATGCATGATCATGCAATAAAATAAAATAGCTTAAAATGTCCATTGCGATCTTTCTGTGAATTCATAAAGTTTCTACACTGTCTTTATTGTATTTACAGTAATTTAGATTAAATATGTTCAACTGCATAAAATTCATTTACCATAGTTTATATTTTAAATGCTGTTTTATTTTCTCTTGTGTGTTATTTAAATGTTGGTGGGGTTTTTTCTGTTTTTTTTTTTTTTTTTTTTTTTTTTTGAGAAATAATTTGTAAAAGCATTTATGCTTTAGAAGCTCTCAGTGTCTTTATATTGTATGTTTTAATGTCTGTCTAGATGCAAATGAAAATTAATGAGATCACTATGTATTACTGCATTTCATGGATACGTTATGAAACATGAGCACTGAACAAGCGCTGGCTTTCCACATTATTAAGATAATAGACTTGTGACCTAAAGATTTGCTTAGCTTTTCATTGTAACATGTCTAATGGTTTTTCAATGTTCATAACATGCAATTTAGGTTATATAATGTGTGTTTGTATTTAAGAGCTCTGTAAATGTCTTAAATATAAATAAATTACAACTGTAATTTGCAGGAATTGCCTTGTTCCTTTATAAATTTGGGCTATGCATTTGAATCTCTGATGGCACAATGCCATTTTAACATTGAAAATATTAAATCAGAATGAATTTTGATTTCAATACTTTAGAAAGTTGAAATAAAAGCTAGGAAAATAAATGAAGATTTCTATTTTTATTCTTAAGGTTTAAGTAGAAGTAAATTTCTTGAATTCTCAGCACTTAAGACTAAAATGGCACTTTGAGAAGCTTGATACGGGCCCTTACTTCATTAAAAAATCTTTTCATACGAGTCAACTGAAAAATAACGAGTTCATACTATCATAGTCCATCAAAATATACTTCAGTAATAATGGATTAAAGGAGGATCTTCACTCGTTGACAGAAACCTATGAGTTAGTCTGGAGTGCCCTATTCGACAGTGTGTGTACTATGATCCCAGCGATTTTTTTAAAATGGACACAGTGCTTTACCAACCACAGGATTGATTTTGTAAAGCTTGTTTGTTATACACTGATCCCATTCAGCTTGCCATTTCTTGTGAATATAAATGTTTATAATATAGGTTTGAGCTCTGAGGGTGGAATCGGGCACTTTTTGAGCTCTGAAGATGAAGCTTCCTCAGCCACAGCATCAGCTTGTTCATTTCCTGGATTTCCACAATGCCCTGGCAGTGGTACCCAACAACAAATTACTGTAAAATTCTGTGCCTCCAAGGACCGCAAAATATTTACAATTTTCACAAATGCTGGGTGTTCATTTTTGGAAGATGCCAGAGTCTGATGACAGGATTTTGAGTCTGTCATTAATAGGACATTTCGCTGCTGAGAAGTTTTAATATGCTACAATGCCAAAATGATTCTAAAATGAAATATAATGAGGAATCTGCATTACTCATCTCTGTATATATTGGGATGTATGATGAAAATATTTCTCGGATACTCGGAAGTTGTGTTTTCAAATTTGCTCTTCTTAGATCTATGATTATGATTGGGGTTTTTTTTAATTCCAGGGAGGGATACTGCAAAAGTGTGTCTGGCTCAGTACATTTAAATCAACTTTTATATTTTCCAGGTGGGGTTTAATCCGCAATCCAAAGGGACAAATAACCCTTGGTTTTTTCTTTGCCTATTTAAGAAGCACTGACAATCAACACTCAGAAATGCTTGTGTCCAGACCAAACCTAAAGGAAATGGCATTGCTTCCCAGTCAGTCAACAGGCAGCGTTTTTCTTTAAAAGTTACATCCTATGGCTTTAGACTGGATAGGGCTTTCATGATCTAAAAAAATAAAGAAAGCTTTAGACACAAACAACTAAATATTTAATGACTGCAATGCTTAATTCTTAGTAGACACAAGTGCAGTCAGTACATAGTCATTATAAGTGCATACAGTCCCTCAGATGCCATTTCTATTCTTTCTTGCACAGAATAGCGGGATATTACTGTATAGGCAGTTGTGAGCATCTATGCAGAATTGTTGCAAAATTTGTAAAGACAGAAAAAAACATTGATTACAATGCTGTTCTTTTGAACTTTTTATTCATCAAAGAATCTTGAAATAAATCTTTTCATTGATAATAATAACAAATGGTTCTTGAGCAGCAAATCAGCATATAAGAATGATTTCTGAAGGATCATGTGACACTGAAGACTGTAATAAAAGTAATGATGACAGTTGAAAATTCAGCTTTGCAACCGAAAAAACACATAGGCAACTATATGAGGAAATATATTAAAATAGAAAACAGTTATTTTGGTAACACTTTATTTTAAGATGACGGAGTTACACGTAGTCATAACAGTAACTTATGCATAATTAACTAAACTTAAACTAAACCCTAATGTAATATTACAAAGTACTTATTTAAGTAAGTACAGTGTAACTACGTCAGCTTAAAATATAATATAAAAAATATAATATAACAATGCACCCTCTGTGAGCATAAGATACTTATTTAAAAAAATGTTACCGACCCCAAAAAATTAACTGAACCCGACCAGAAACCCTACAGTGTTCTGGGTCCAGTGGGGCTCAGGTTGGGTACCAACTGTAATACTGTACATCTCTGCTGCCCTTAAGAACAAACTAGATCAAGGCATTTATGTAGACATGTTGTTATGCAAACATTTGGACTTGCCTTGATGCCGTCCTACCTCCGTTTACCTGTAAAGGCAGCATTTGTTTTAGATATGAGAGCACATGGTTGAAGCCCAACCTCCACTGAGGCCTAACACACTCTGCAGCACAATCACAAAAGCAGGTTCATGGAGCTGAACTAACGCCATGTTAACGTGTGTCCTGGATTATGTAAGAGAAGGGGGTGAGTTCGAACTGAAGCACTGGTGGCTGGCTGCTCTCTCTGTTAATGAGTTTGAGGAAGGAGAGGGGAGCGGCCGCATTCTGGAGGCTGAAGTTCACCTAGAGACTATCTGGAGGTGAAAAGATAGGAGCGAAGCCCAACTCTTGGCTATCAAGGACAGAAATACACTGCCTAAAGAAGGTAGGCAACATTCTCTGGCAATTACAGTACTTTGAACTATAAAAACAGAACAACTTTTAATTTCACAGACTTTTGATGGAGTTTAGATGATTTATAATGTATAAACGTCATGCTTTATCTATGCAAGAGCTTGAGCAACTCCTTTTGTGGTGCCATTTTATGGTGGAATGTGCATTTCGGGTTAAGGGAAGTCAAATGAGTAAATCCCCAGCAATTTCATTCTCAATTTGCCCTGTTTCCCATGCATCCTTCATTATTTCATTCACAAAGTCTCTACTGTTGGGTCGAGCAGAGCACAACAAACAGTGCTGAATGTAGTAGACTAACAGTGAGCCACTGTACATCTCAGTAATAATCACCCCCACACACACTTTTGATGGTCAATTTAACTCTCGAAAGATCCAGCCAGCTCATTGCTGCCAGGGCATTTTGTAACCTATACTTCATTTGCCAAAAAAATCCAGAAAAGACGGTCAGTATTGATGCTTTAGACAACATCAATGCACTGAAGGAACTTGCTGAGATTCACCAAGGAGGTTCAATGACCAAAGAGGCTTTAACTAGATCATAGCACAGGAAACATTCAACATAATTGCTGCACATTTATTTTTAAACCTTTTGTGCAATTGTCATGGCATACTTGATTCATTCGGTATATTATGCATGGACTTTGGAATTGTAGTAAGATAAACTAACAGTCAAAAGTTTGGACACACCTACTCATTATTTATTATTACCCTTTTCCACATTTTATAATTAAAGTAAAAATATCAAACCTATAAAAAAACACAACTGTAAATATGGAATTATGATGCCAAAAATGTTTAACATGGATGCTTTTTAAACATTAATGTTGACATGCTTTTCGTTCTGCTCCAATACATCCATTTAAAAATTAACTATTAGTTTTGTACAGCAATTATGTGTAGGCAACTTGCATTAGTATTTCAGCATTACTTGGTCAATGGGGTTATAACATCTTGAGAAATATATATTCTGTCAATTGTTTCCAGACTTTGACTGGTTATTAGTTGCATGTAATACCACAAAGGCGAAAGAGTTAACCAGTAATACATTCCAGTCCAGATTAGAGCCTGTAGCTCTTTGAATTTAAGCTTCAAATCAGGGTTATTTTGGTTGGAGATTTTTTTGTTGTTGTCTGGAATTCCTGTTAGAAAAGGGCTTGTAGTATTTGCATAAAAACTTAATGACAGCTCTCTAGTTTATTTTTCACTCATAAATTAAAATCCTGTCATCATTTACTCACCCTCATATTACAAACCTGGACAAAAAACATAATCAATATCTTCATCAAAATTACATGATGACAGTGTTTTCAGGTACAGGTGAAATATCCTTTAGAATTTCACAATCATACAAGCTGACTCATCTTACTAATTGCCAATATCTCATAGGTAGATATGACCTCAGGCTTTGGAGCCTCTCCTTCTCTTTAAATATATATGAATGCTGTATATTCTGAGCAGATTAGATATGTAATATGCACAACTAAAGGGAATGTGTAACTGATGAATTTATAAAAGCTCCAGCGACGAAATACAGACTTCGCTTGGTAAACTTAGCAGGGAAAAAAAGGAATATGGAACTCCTTGGAATATCAGAGAATTGTAAAGTTGATTTTAAAGTTTTAATATATAAATAAAGCCATCATGTCTGGAAAATATTATACAGTGCTTATAATCTTTTCTTGTTACGCTCATTAAATAAAAATGTTTTTTTTTGAGAGTGAAAAAAAACGACTGGAAAAGAAACTCATTGGTCAGAAGGAAGAATTGGTCAGTATACAGTCCACAGTCATGTCAACACATCAAAGTAAACTGCAAAGGACAAGTACAGTATGTGCAGCAGCAGATGGGCTGGGGGTGGAGAGGTAAACAATACATTTGTTTCGCTTTATTGCTCAGAGACATCTACTGGGGAGGGGGGTGAGATAAACATATCATGCATGTAACTAC